GCGGGGGTCCTCGGCGTCCCTTTTAGGGTTTGAAATCGGTATTTTGGTCCCGCTTAGGGTGATAATGACGAGAATTCCCACCAACTGAGTTTTGTGGTCCCTTTTAGGGTATATGACGTCCCTAAGCCGTCATTATGAGATCAAAAACCACAGCTGCTAATTAGATGATTGATTTTATTTTAATCAATTTCACGTCTTGTCACTTAACACTCCTTAATAGACGAGATTATTGGTCCCTTTTAGGGATGAAATTTCAGCACTGCCACGCCCATCATCTCCAAATACAGGTCCCTCTTAGGGGTCATTTTCATAATTTCCGCCGAGGACCCCCGCCCTTTGATATTAGGGAGTCCCCCCCCCGGGATTCATATAAGCGAAGACACATTGTTATTGATGCAAATAACTGAAATAAGCATACAATAACGCCAACTTAGTATCGAGAGATGGAAGGATCATATAGGCAGGCATAATTTAGGTGCAATATATTCTACATTTTTCTGATGAAGAAAAATAGAGTTCGTTGTCTTGATTCATTTTTCGATAAAAGAATGGCTACCGATGGCCTGGGGGTTAGAAGAATACTACAAGATTGAGGGATTTTCGCAGTTTGATTACGTACCTAACCCACAGCTTCTACAGTTTTCAGTGCTTTGGCTGTTTCCTGCACATGGTTTACCTCTACCTCTGCGTGGAGGGTTATCACACCTGCGTGTTCTTGTACGAATTCCTGAACCACATATCACACTGCATCGACTCCATGGAGACCATTGTCCCCAATTACCATCGACAGCGCTACTATGGCCAGAAGCAGGGCGCCTGTGACGACTGTAATCACTACTACGCCTACGGCTAGAAGCAGCGCTCCTGAAACCACTACTACCGCCAGAAGGAGCGCTACTACCACCACTACTACCGCCAGAAGGAGCGCCACTACTACCGCGACCAATAGGCTGTACTCCTTTCATAGGCATAAGTGGAGAATAAAAGAAAATAAGGAAGGAATGAAGTCAAATGTGGTATAAGATATCAACATATAAGCATAGCAATAAGCACAAGACAAAAAATAAGATAATAAAGATAAAAGAACAAAAACAAACAAACAAACAAAACTTCTTAATCTATTGTTAGTCCCTTCAAAGCCCCAAACCTATTGTTTTCAACCCTTATGATTGCTTGCAGCTCGCAGTCTTAATGAAAGACCTAAATTACTTTTTGACCTGTTTCTTTCGTCCCGGTCGGTGTTCTAAACAACTGTATCCAGATACCTTAAGGTTTAGAACTGTTATTTTGTGAGTCAGGTAACGTGAAGTTTAAGAGCAACATTGCAGTTAGGTCTTTGAATGCACTCTGCAGTAACAAGAGGCCGTTATGCATGAGCATGCGCGCAACCGCTGCGTYMTAAYGAYCAYGRGCTCTAGRATACGGGTAGAATAACATTGTAGTAGCTGCGGAAGCTTCGATTCTGAACATAATTGATGTTTTTACTTATCTTCCACATTTTTCCAAACAAAACCAAGTATATATATTTACAATGCACACGAATATCTTTCAAACATTTTTGGAAATTGTCCTTCGTGTCGTTGTAATTTCTCGCTTGAAGTGAATCACTAATGAATTTCAATGAATTTTCAACAGACTGGCGCATGCGCACGCCAAACGGCCCCTTGCTCTCTGCAGTATAAATTGTTCAGTATTCAACGTTTCTGTAATAGATGTATATATTTAGGGTTAAAAAAGGCCCACGGACTGCAATATTGCTGCCAGACAATTCAATATGCTTGCATATCAGGACATTGGTAACAGGGACACATACAAACAACATGCTGCCATTCGCCCAATTTACCTATCCCACGTCCAAGTATCCCTAATACCGGTGTAGCTTCAATTGCTAGTAAAAGGAATATGATCGTCCTCGCCATATCAACAATGGCTTTCATCTTCATATCTGTATTGAAGATTGAGTTCGCTCGTAAAGACTCTTTCTTCAAATCGCCTTGCTAGTGTTTATCTGTAGGTGAAAAACAGCGATTACTAATCATACAAAAAATACAAATCAAATGACCTGATGTGAAAGTCAACAAAATTTCTTCAATTTCGACGGTATACCACTGTAAAGTGCGGGAAACTATAGCTGTTATTTATTCCATTAAATAATTGGTTATTATAATTTCTGCATATCTGCTTGGTTCATGGGAGATGACGTAAAAGTCGATTTTAAATTCAACAAATCGCAGTCATTCATGGTGACAGGTTCTCTTACATTTGTTAATCACATCTTTAGAAAATTAAGCTGAAGAAAATTATTTCATGTACACGCGTGACATCAACGTATTGGACTGATAGTTTAGTGCACAAAAGAGTACTGAAGGCCTAGTTTGCACAATTATGCTTTGTGAGCCTCTGTTATTGTTATGATTTACACCAAAATAATTCTAGTATCCAAATATCACCATAAAACGAATGTCAGATGGTTGAAAACTATTAGCGTTTAGAAAAGTTAGATGGTCAAAGATTCGAAACACACAGTACAGTAAACTGAAAATGGCCACCTCCAGGCACTCGTGGCCTCCAAACCATAATGGTGCACACTGGGCCTTTAACACTGCACTTTAGAGTTAAACTAAAAAAAACCCGTAAAATAGGTATAACACTAATACACCTTTAGTACATTCAAATTACATTGTTTTCTTTTGTGTCTATTTGACTATCACACTTTTATAATATTAAAGTTTTGTTGTACGGGCGTAATGACTGCACTCAGTTTGCTATTAAAAAGAGAGTGCTAACAATTGAAAACAATAGACCTAGCAAAGTTTAGAAGTATATTTCCTACACAATTGAAATTTTTACCGTAAAACAACACGCTTATTCAAAAACAAAAAAACAAATGAAAAATATAGCCTCACGGTAAATGAGAAGGAATTGAGGTCAAGAATTTTCATAACTCGTGCAGCTATTTTTTCAATAATATAAGATCATGTTATTTCATATTCCAACAAGTGTATATAAAATATATTAGAAATTAGTGGATATCATCGCTAATATCTTTTTGGAAAAAAAAGATATCAGCGATGGTTTTCCGTAGTTTCTGATATATTTTGTATATACTTGAAATATGAGTCAAATAGATCAAAATTTCTGAATATTGCTGTATTTCATATTCAAATAAGATCAGATTCATATATATTTTATATAATCCCATAAAATTCTTCCTACCTGAATAAAGTGACTTCTCTTCCAGAGATTGAACTGTAATATCTGTTTTCGTATACGAAATAACATAGATAATTAATGAAAGGCGAAAGGTTTAATTACTATGCTGATCCGGGGGGGGGGGGGTACTCCCCTATATTCGCTATACGGGGACGTGCCGCCAAACAGGGTATCGTTTTCAGCGATTTTACTCTGGAACTGGGTATCATTTTTAGCGATTTTACTCTGGAACAGGGTATCGATTTCACAACGAATATTCTCTGGAACAGGGTCAGGGTTTAATTCCGGAATTATTGATGCTAGGTAAAAATTCACGGGGTAAAAAATTCGGTCTACACGCAAGCTAGTGCTGGATTTTCTCTGGAACAGGGTATAGTTTTCAGCGATTTCACTCTGGAACAGGATCAGGGTTTTGATGTCCCAGCGGCACACCCCCACCCATGTTGCTGATAGGTTCAGTTAATTATCTAATTATAAAAGCGACGTGTGTTTCTATCAATGAATAACCTAACCAACCAAAGAAAAACACAACTTACCAATTAAAAGACCATTTGCAATGCGCATTTCTTGAGAAGTCGGTTTTTCCTTCTTCTAGACTTTTCCTGGTATTCCTTTACTTACAAAATGAGCACAAATCCTCCGTGGCCATAAATAGTGAATGGTCCCTAATTAGACTTCATTTTCAAGACAGACCATTAGAAAAGTCGAATATGTTTTCCGCAGTATGTTTTTTTGTTTTATATCCTGCAGTACAATTTCTAAAGTAAAGAAAATAGAACATTAATGATCATTGCATGTAGACCTCAACTTTCGTAATGTATATATTTCATAAATAAGCCCGGCCTTTCACGTTTGAACTTATCTAATTTTTTTTTTTTTTGAAAATTCAAAGTTTATGCTGATTAGCAAAATTTTATGAATATCCGCCTATATAATAGCTACTCTTAATTAACTATATAATCATAAAAGAGACGGGTGTTTCTATCTATAAATCAACCAAGAAGACGAGGAAAACACGACCCGCCAATTAAAAGAACAATTGCAATGAGCATCTCTCTAGAAAGAAGTTGGTAGACTACAAACATTAAATGTGTGCAACACTTTCCACTATTTACTACAAAAGAGTGAAACAATAGAAAACAATAGAATTAGCAGTATTTAGCAGTATTTAGTGGTATCTATGTTGCACAGTTTTAGTGTTTGTACTCTATATTTTCATTTTCTATTCTTCTATTTTGCATACACCTGATGTAAAGCGTATAATTTTTCCCAGCAGTTTGTGAATGGAAATATAGAGAGAACGCCCGTATAGGGGAATAATAACCATTACAACTAGGGAGCTTTTCATTTATTCTAAACTGGCTGGCTAAAAAATAACAGGAACAAATACTACTTTTTTGTCGCGAATTATTAGTACTTTTGAAAGTTTTCCATTATGATTATAGGGTAGGAAATGGATGGAATTTAGAAATAAATTACTCTGGCTGAACAGGAATAAATGAATAATACTCGCATTGTCTTTACAGGGTCTGTCCAGCCGGTCCTAACAAAAATGAATAGCGCCCTATAATACACCTTGTGCGTTTTCCTAAAAACTGTATGAAAACTTTTAAATGACTCATTCTGTGTCATTCAGAAAGAGTGTAGGCTACAAGAAGAGCCATCACAGTCGTAGGTGTGCACATGTCTTTATTCTCGTGCGTGTATTGAACTGCTGTGTATTAAAATGCTGGGTGTTAAATCCAACCACTTTAACATCAAAATATTGCTACGCGTAGCATGTGACCATCAAGTGTAGTTTCTCAGAAACATGATATTTTCAGTCTAGAGGCTCTGGATTGATGGAGTGAAGAGTGGGCTTACAGATAGAGAACAGTAGGTGAAGAGATGGTCGAATCATTAAAAAAATATAGAAATAGCCAATACGACGTATGAAGATAATTGGATTCATGACTGGATGGATGAACGAATGGAATGCTGAATGAGAAAATGGAAAAAAGAATGGCAAAAGGGAAAAAAGAAGAGACAAAAGAATCATTATAAATATATACTTTTTTCAATATTTTCATGAAATAAACTGAGGAATAAAAAAAGAGAAAGCAATGCCGAAAAAAGAAAAAAATATGTTTTGAACTGAACAGCTGTAGTCGGTTAAAAAGCTAATTAAAAACATATAAAAAGCACCGTGAACCTCATTTTAGCTCTAAAGGTAATTATTGTTCTGGAAGAATCAGTCATTATCCAGTTCTTCCATCAATATGTTGTTAACGTCTAGAATCTTTCCCCGTGCGCCGTCATCACCGCTATAAAAGCTTCTGAACAGAGTATCCCCATCCACACTGTAATGATATACAACTACTTGAAGTAATATTGGCATACGAAAAAAGCATTTTATATCATAGGTATTCATTTAGAGACAAAAGAACATTCAATCTGGCAGTGCCCTATTGCATTATGACGCCGCATCAAAAGATGAAATTGTTTTGACGATAAGGATTATGGTCGCCAGAGGTGATCAAAGCGACTGCATATCAAATAAAATGCATATGAGCAATCTTTGATACATGACATATATTAAAACACTGAGATCCATTAAAATTCTACTTTCGGGGAATATAAAGGGGCCCAAATTTCTACTAGTTCTGGTTTTGTTAACGTACTGTGACGTCATAATAAAAAAGGGCAATTCTCATTTTTATCTCTTACTAAATCCCTAATTTTCTTTCTCTCTAAATAAGTCAACCTTTCTAAAATCAGGTGTACGCGCGCAAAACTAAGAAACCTTTTATATTAAAGCTTCCGGCATGTTTAGAATTTCCCACCATTAGATACAAATCGCAAGAGCAATTATTTTAGGTAAGTTCTAGTGTGATCTCTTCTTCCTTTTTATAAGAGCCTTTGGATTCAATAAGACATTCCTAATAAACATTAAAATGGAAACCATACTGATTATGATAGGAAGGGCGGTGGATTTCTTTGTATTTGTCTTTCTAATGTTTGAATACGTCAATTTAGTGTTGTTAGTACATGGATTCAATATTAGAAGATGAATTCTTGCTGCGCGTAAGTGATTTGCGCTGAGAATCTCGTGACATTAGAGGACAAAACAAGTTGGGTGGACGTTTCGCGTGCAGTCTCTCTCAGATTTTCTATAGGAGCTTAGTAAAAGCAGACACCAAAGCTGCATCAAATGTTAGCACTTTAAAGGTGAGTTTGTATGGTTTTTCAGTGATTCTAAATATTTTCAATACTGTAACAAAATAATGCAACGATATCATTGACTGTGAATGTAAAAACATTTGAATGCAAACTAAATGGAATGGATCTATCAAGAGAATAAGTAGAAAAATTGATCAATTAATGAATGAATGAAAAAGTGAATAGTTCTAGTTTGAAGGAAATTCAAATTGTTTAACAACATGCGAAACGGTGAGCGGGAAAAGTTGTTTTATCTATTGTCAACTTTCAATTTAAATAAATAAATGGAAGGAATACTAAATGAATGAAATTAGAGAACAAATTCAATTTCGAATATAGAAAATTTAATAGCAAAACAGCTTGCAAGATGGTGGGAGGAAGAAAGATTATTTTTCCACAGCAACATCAACTTCCTTCTTATAACCTTTCCTGTTACGCTTTTCTCACGTCGGTACTTCAAAAAATGAAAACAAATCCAATAAAAATAACAGATAAACTAGATATGTTCTGCTTTCACTGTGTAATTGCTTTGAATAGTGACCTTTTCAATCAGGATTTACGTCCCCAATAAAGCAAAATATGAAGCGAAAGGAAAAATGTTGATACTGCCTCTTGAGCAAGAAAGAGTCGAATATTTCTGAAAGTTAAAATTAATGTTCTTTGCAATATTGATCATGAATGGAGAAATACTTTGATTCTAAGATGATGTAATGCTATTTGATGAAGATGATAGTGTAAAATACAGTGGGCGAAAACAGGAGAATTGATTTATAATTACTATATCAGATCAGAAGCTTTTTTGAAAGGAACAAAATAACTAATACGATAATCGGTTGCCATCTACCTTGGCTCGTATAACAAATTAAGGCTTCACTTATTTCCGCAACAAGATCTTTAATGATTTTATTTTCCCTGCAAAAATCACTGATGATTTCTGAGCTAAATACTAAAGAGGCAAGGATGATAGGGACATCAGAAATCGATGAGATGAGATAATGGAAAATTTGATCAGTCACGTAAATGAACATTATCAAAAACTTTATAACCGAATTGCTAAAAGACCAGCGTTTTATAATGATACTTTGACATAATGGAACATTTAATCGGACTTATTTACGTAAATTAATAGTATCTCATAAACTTTATAACACGAATTGTTGAAAAAACTATTATACGCTAACAAAGATGAACTTTTAGACAAATGCTGAGATAATGGAACATTTAATCGGATTCATTAACGAGAAATTTATTGATCGAACACTTGATCATTTCTTGTGGAAGTCAGGCGACATATTCCTACAGGATGTTATTGTCTTACCTATCTTATACAATATAGAAAACATCCGCAGTTTTTATTTGGAATACATAAGAGCATATATAACACAGAGACTACTAAAAGGGGATGTCTCCATACAGACATAGAATGTCGAATACAAAGGACTCATTTAAAGCAGTTGTCTGGCTTCACTTCAGGATCAGGTAGTTCTAGAACAATTAATCGCATGCACATCTTACGTTTTGTTTTTCATGTAAGCTATTCGTTTCCTTATTCCCTTTACACACTCGTTGATTATCTGACAATTTTACAGCGTCCAACAATGATCGATCGCTGTTCACTACCCACTCCCAGGGAGAAAGCTAATTAGCTTACAAAAATAGGCAAATGAAGCTAATTCAGAGAAAAGACCGTTAGAAATTGTTAGGAGAGTTTCCCTGAAGGAGAATTACTGTACTACAACCCTTCTGAAATCCACTAACATCAAGACTTTCCAAAACACAATATCAGTGTTGTATCCAATAGGAGGAGGTTCTCAGGTCGATATTGCAAACACTAGACAAATGCACAATACTGAGTTCATTGTATCTCAATATAGATATTTTGCGAGCTACATCAATACATTCTGCAAGATATTTTATACTCGCGTGTGGTGAACCACATTACAAAGTAAGATATTCAACAAGAAATGCTTTGTATACGGGTTAAAAACTTGCGTGCGTACCCCTTAACACCATGTAGCACCTGGTTCAAAATAAACAGTAGGTATTCATATGATGACGATTTGTCATGTGGTCAGGAAGTTTCAACATCAAGCTGACTGTAGCCTCCTCTCCAGGGAACTCTTTTTTCTTCCTTTGGGCTTCCTTTGTAACGGATTCTTAGTGATGCCTGCGGAGTAGGCTAAACTTACTGCTGCTCAAAGAATAAACCGCACGTTAAAGTAGAACACGCCCCACAAACGCAAAAGCTGCCATAGCAAACTGATGCCACACACAAAAAAGCTATGCACACTAATAGTTTAATAAAAATAAGGTTACTTTTCTTACGTTTTACGCAGGTATTTTTACGTACGTGCACGAACACGTTTAAGATTTTTGATTTCTCTTATTCTTTAATTTACGTACGTAAGTAATTTACGTATTCTAACGTACTCGTATGACGCAGACTTAACTAAATGAACGGAAAGCTATTCAATACTGAAACGTTTCCGTAGGCGATGGATTGAACGTAAAATAATCATAACAACAT